ATTCCCTTCTAGATTATAGTTAGGGCCCCCAATGTAATAGTTAGATTTTATTTGCTTATTTGCTTGTGTGCTTATGTATTTTTTTTGTTTTTTTCTAGGGTTTTGCATTTAGATATTATGTCTATGTGTTATGTGCTCTATGTGCTTTATGTGTTTATTTGCTTTAATTATGATTTATTTGCTTTATTTATTTATAATAAATGCATGACGTCGCCACACTAGTCCAATACTAGTTGTAGCCTTTCTCCCCAATTTCTTACTAGTCAAACGCTAGTGAAACTTATAGACATGGGTTAGTCCAATGCTAGATCGTTAGGACTGCCTACACACTAGCATCATATTTTTACATGACATTTATTCCATTTCTTGCATATTTTCATTTTAGGATCTTTTTCTCATCTTGCATGGTATTTTTCCTACTATTATTCCCTTATCATTTGTATGTTTGGACCATATCATTTAGAATTGCATTTCATTTTAGGAAATTAGAAATAATTAATCCATTTGCTTGACTAGGTTAGGAGAGTCACCCTTCAAATATGGAAAATGAACAAGTATGATTCCTTAGTCTTAGCATGCTCTTATCCCTTCTATAAGAAGGAAAATTTGAGTCACGAATTTTAACATCCTGTACCCGTTATATTGCATTTCCCTTTTCTAGGTCATGTATATTTATCTATTATAATTTCTTTTTTTGAGTCTCATCTTTTGTATTTTTCGTGACCTCTTCTAAGAATCATTTTTGGGCATTATAATTAATGTGATTTGCACCAATTGAACTTTGAAGAGACATTTCGACCTTCCCGATATCCTTTAGGTCTAAACTTGCATCCATATAGAAAATATCTAAATGTAATAAGTTTTATAAGTTAGATTAGGAAAATTTTTGACTAAATCTCGTAATTAACTTTTGCTAGGTTGAAAGGGTGCCTTAGGTTTGAGTCTATCAAATTTTTGCCTTCCGTTTTTTCAACCGTAACCCCCCAAACTCTTTTATTTTGTTTTCAAAGATTTGAAGTCGTCTAAAAAGGGTTTATTTATATTATTATTTAAAAATATATTTTGAGTGACTTGGTATACCTAAATTCAATACCAAATGACGACTCCTATTTTTCTTTAAAAACCCTTTTTAGACTATTATTTTGGATCCAAATTATCACATATTTTAAGTCCCATTTTTAGGCCCTTCTTTTTTCTTTATTTTGTAAAAACATAAATTCATTTTTTAACACCATTATTTTATTTTAAAAAAATGGGGCGCAACATAATCCATAGAAATGTAATGTTTATCATTTAAAACATAAAATGCATATTTTCACTAGAAACTTAGTTAATTAACTATAAAAGTAAATAAAACACACCAAAATTAAATAATAAAACATATCTAAATCACACAAAATACAAATTTATCAGTTTTCTTTAATTTGTTGATTGTCTAAATAGTAGAGGAGTTTTAGGAGTGCGAGTAGTTGTCCATTCTTCCTTGTGAGTTCGACTCTTAATACCCTATACTCAATCTTGACCTGTATACTTGAAAAAAATCGTGTGTGGGATATTTACTGTGAAATGAGTTTAATTGTTTAATTATTATATGCACACCCCACGCTCATCAGGAAGGATTTGCCTCTTTAAAAAAAAAAAATAGAAGATGTTAAACATTTTAGAATCGTGCATATCCGATGGTGAGCTACATGATATTATGAATTCATCATACTAATAATTGAGTTTGCTTTAGATTCAAACCTGTTTAATCAAGAACGAAGGTGTGAATAATCTAATCCATGAATCTTAGCACGCTCTTGCACAAGAAAACATTGCAACCTAGTTTATCAAACATCGTCTTTAATGGCCATTTGGACTGTTGGCCACTGAAGATTTGGTGGGATGGAAGGTTAAATGTTCAAATCTTACCTCTCACCACTTGCCACTATATGTGGATTGTCACTTTAAGTGACTTAAATCCATACTGGTGCATAGTGCAGTTGTCTGGTTCGATGGTGATTCAGTTTCCGTCAGTTCCACACTAGGAGTAGGAGTAGGTGTAAAGTAAACAGATGGTGGTTTAGTCCCCTTCGATTCCTCAGAATGACAGGAGCAACCGTCAGATGGTGTAGAAAGCATTTTAATATGCTATTAATTAAACATATCAAAATAACCCTAATTAACTGTAGACCATATAAAACTTTATCAATTAGATGGATGACCTAAGACGCTGGCTGGATTTAATACAATATTTCTCTAATTTCGAGTTCTATCTTTTTTAGTTTAAGTGGAAGATTTCGAATTTGAAACCTCTCACTTACACTCTCTCTTCCAATATTATCCAATTCATCATTTCTCCTAAATCATTGTGCCAATTGTTTCTACATCAAGTTTAAATTAAGGCTTAAGAAAAAGAAGTGGAAAATTAACATCGAAACGCCGTCATAATAACAATTCTTAGGCTTTCATAAATATTACGGGTGGATGTGAAGTCCCCAGGAGAATTTCTCCTTTCACTCACGGCGGGTTGTTCACTCAGAAACAACAAATATTGGCCAAAGACGAAGAGAGCACCAAAAATTTTCACTAAATTGGACTTGACCATATGCAATTCACTATTCTTTTCTATAAGACTGGCTCAATTCACAATTTGCATGAGTCACTGACTGACTCACCAACATAATTTATCTTTCCATATGGAAAGCAAGCTATCAGAAAATCCAAGATTACACGCCATGTCTATTTTTTACGTTCTTTGATGTACCTTCTAGCTAATTCAGGGACCACATTTTGTAGAATTAGATGGTCAATATTTGGCCAAAAGAAAAAATTGTAAGTCTCATGTAACGTGGTGTACGTTGCTTTAACTTTATATGTGAAGCTCCACAAAAAAATTTCAAATCTTACCTGCCCTTTACCCATTTTTGTATATTTTATATACCGTTTAACATCTAGAAAATATAAAAAATTGCTACTTGACAATGGGACGGGCAGGTTGGAGTTGATTGATGGATACCATCACATTCTCAAGTCTTGACTAAGATGCCTTTGGGAGATAGCTTGTGAGAATGCGCGCTGTACCTAACAACTTGAGTTGGAGTCTTTCTTGCTATATCTTGAGACACGTTTAAAACCAGTTTTCAAAGTGGATTGCTTCCGAAATAATTTCTTTTCATGTATTTATGGACAGGATTATGGAGTAAATATTGCCCAATTTAAAGTTGACGTTTGATAGTATGCTTTTCTCCATTGGCTAAGCGGCTTCTAAACTTAAGGCTTTTTGATACTAGCAGGTAAGGGTGTTCAAACTACAAGAAAAATCAAAACACTAGCCAACAGAAAATAGATCTAATATCAAATATCAATAATACGGATATTCATAAAATCATTTGATATTCAATCTTTAAAGTTTGGTAACATATTTTGGGAATAGTTATTAAAAATTGATTCCTACTTATTGACTGGAGTACCAAATTTTATTATTCTAATAATATATTATATTTATTATGTACCTACCAATATACTATAATATATAGTAATGTATTAGTAAATAGTATTATATGTTATAATTTATGATTCTACAGGATTAACTAGTTCATTAAGATAAATTTTATGTATAAACCTTTGGTAGTCTCTAATTTGAAATGCTGTTTATGTATCATAAGAAATACTAGAATATTTCAAATTTTTTAAATACAAAATGTACTTCGCATTGTTGTTGATTAAAGAACAGGAACATGTGAAGCATATTAATTCACTTGTCAATAACTTTTGTGTTGTTGATTACACATCAAATATGCTTCATTAATCTAATTAATAAATCCATTTCAAAATTTGGATGTTGCCAAAATACATTGCTAAAATTCATTAGTGACATCAAATGATTAGTGACATCAAAACCATAGGCAGCCTTCCACGGATACCAAAGGGTGTCAAAGGAAGGAAGGAAGATACATACAACACCTATGGATTGCTGTAACATAGGAAAAGCAACTACAATGAACTGAAAAAATAGCTATTGATTAAATGAATAAATTGCTTTTTACCCTCTTGTAATTTGGTGCTTTACCACAAAACTTTGCTAAGATTTAAAAATTTATATGTAACGCTCTCATAATTTGGGTTAAATTGTCACCATTTATTTTTTCATTAAAGCTAATGGTCAATATTTAAGAGTCAATATCAAACGAATAAATTGATAAATTCAACATTTCACTACTTTTTTTCCCAAATACAAAAAAAAAAAAGAGAAATAATAAACAGGTAAATAAGAAAGAGGAAATACCAAAACTTTAATAACTGCAAATATCATTATAGGCTCCTAAACCAAATATTTAATGACAAAAAATCTTTAATGTTATTTTCTATTTTTTATGTTCCTTTCTCCCTTTTTGTATTTGGAAAATTCAAATTTATTAAGATTTAGTAGGCCAAAATATAGCTTTTTGAAATCATCTCTTTTCTTTCCAAAGAAAAGAGAAAGAAAAGAACAAAAAAAAAAAAGAAAACAAAAAAAGTTGTGAAAGGGTGAATTTGTCAATTTATTTATTTGACTTTGATTTTTTAATGTCGACTATTAGTTTTAACGGAAAAAATAACACTAACACTTAATTCCAAATCATAAGGAGGTTATATATAAATTTTTAAACTACAATAAAAAAAAGTTTTTAAACCATAGGATGGTTATATACTAAGGTACCAAACAACATAAGTGTAAGAGGTAATTTACCCTAATTAAATTAACATGTAATTAACTTGTGCCGCCCCCGCAAGAACCCCACTTTGGGAGTTGTTCACATCTCAAATGTATGTTTTTCCTTTTTCTGATTGTTGAATTTAGCTTCTTATGAAGGAAATGAGCTGAATGAAGTCTTTTAACAAGATTCTTCTGACTGATGCTGAAATCTTTGTCCATCTGCGAAATAAAGGAAGGTTCAGTCAGATAATTCGTCAATTTACAAAAAAGTAGAAATTGAAGAATCTTTTAAAAAAACCATTGAAAAAGCTTCGCTAATTTCTCAATATAACATTATAAGTGAAGAACATACAGCAGTTCTACGGTGAACAAAGACCTTTTTTATTCCTCCAGTTTTCTCATGAGACCTTTTTTCTTTTCTCAATATAAGGATTGAACACAGACCTTTAATCATTGGATTGTAAACTGGGATTACCTCTGCAACAATGATAATCTCGTAAGTTATTCCCACAAATGGCATGATGTTACCACTAATTACAGTCAAGTTGAGCTTTTCAATCTCAGAAAGTATGTTTGCAAGGACATCTTTCTCTTTCTCACATCTAATTGTCAGAAGGATTTTCTTTTCATACATTCTGACTTCAATCTCAGGAAGCTGTTCGTCAGAGCAAACAGAAGAACTTTTACTGATAGAACAACTGTGTTGTTCCTCATGAACCTGTGACTTCTTCACAACCACAGCTTGATTTGGATTATATTGCTTTAATTTGTTGTTCTCTTCTTTCAGCTGATTGATGTATTTGAGAGCTTCTCCCATGATTGAAATTCTGTCGGTCTGAAAAAATATCAAATTTTCTTAGTAAAACCTCCAAGAAATTGGAAAAACAATGTGCAAAAAAATAACTTATTGGACATGAATATAGCACAGTGATAAAGTGCTTTTGTCTACTCCTCGTCCTACAGAAAGGGTTTCCTGTCGATTCTCAGAGTCTCAATTCCTAGAACTTAAAAGCATTTCCATTACTCTTCCCCTCTTTACGTTACGGTTCTCAATGAACAATAAAAGAATTAATTCAATTACCTTTGTGATGCCAGGAAGAATTGTAGATAGGGCAATGAATTGCTTGTTAAGAGTCTCTCGCCGCCTCTTCTCCGCTAGCAAATTCTTCTTATATTGCAATCTCCTTGCTGCTAAACTAGGGATCTTATTCTTGTGATTTGATGTACATGGTGATTTATCATTAAGTTGTTCAGGCATACATGATAAAGGGAGTTTATCATCAATACGGTCGACACCTGAAGAAGAAGACTTACAAGGACTGGAAAGGTTTTCAGGAGTGAAGAAAGAATTGCCAGAAAAAAGCTGATCTAGAAAGGCTGGGAACAAATCCTTTTCTTCTAAAAAATAGTCTAGTTCACAATTATCACCTAAAGTAGCTTCTATGTCCTCTGGAGAAAAATCTGTGAAGGGATCCATATTCTTTTTTGCAAAATATTTCCCTGAGTTTTTCTTTGGGATTGTACCTTTTTGCAAGTAACACTACTCAGGGAATAGTGGTTTATATACTCGAACCTGAGGTTTATGGAATCTGGATTTAAGACAACGAGATGGGAGTTTAGACTGGAAATTAATAATTTAACTGAAGGTTTGTGTCAAAACTGAGTTGTACTGTAACTTTGTCCATGTGAATGGCACTGGGGAATTAATTCCGCCTGGATAGTTTAAAGAGGGCCACATGTTTGTTTCTGGTAGTTAGGGATGATAAAAGTGTGGCAGGGTTGAGAGAGTTAGAAAAAAAAATCCAGATTAAAAAAATTGTTTGCTTCATTTAGCAAACTAAAAGTATTTTCCTTTTTTAGCCCCCATTGAAATTTTATAGGGTAAAAATAAAAAAAGTTCCCTGTGGTAAACCTAATACACAGTAAAACCTCCGTGGTTTCAAAACATACAACATGACACCTCATGCTTTGAACTAAATTGTAAAGGTGACGAAATCTATTAAATTTAATGGAAATGACTTATTGGAACCTAAACAAATTTTTTTGAGCTATCTTTTGCTTAATTATATCAGGGCATTTTGGTCATTTCATCCATTTCTGTTAAGTTTAACGGATTCCGTTATCTTTACAATTTAGTTCAATGTATGGGGTGTCGTCTTGTGCGTTTTGAAATCATGAGAAGCTTTTCTATGTATTAAGATTATCACAGGGGGCTTTTTTATTTTTTACCCAATTTTATATTAGCTCCGCCACTGCTTTTGCAAGCATGGACATATAAAACATGGTCTAATTAGTTTGTTGAGCACAGATGATAGCATTTCTGATGTAAGTAAGACTTGTGGTTAAGGTTTGTTGTATATAAACAAATAGTCTGATCATCCTCTTTCGTAGAGATGAGAATATACACAAATGAGTTTGATTAAGTTAATTCATGAAATGACATGGCATTGGAAATTTGGAATCAATCTAATATCACTATTTGGGTGAAATAATGTTTGCACATTGATCTACTAATCCCATTGCAATTGGGATAAAACAAACAGATGAGAATGGTTGGAAGATGTGACAAAAGGAGTATAGACCTCATGATGTAATTTTCTTCCCTAAATATTCAAATACCTACTGTAAACATGATTTAATGCAAAACCTACATCAGTTTCTTTTCTTCCCACCTTTCTCATTGTTGGCATATTAAATTAAGCAAAAAAAAAGAAAAGAAGAAATTTCTACATTATTATTTAGTAGTGTTTTAATCAAGTTACGATTTTAGTAATACAATTTGAGTCAAGTTATGGTAGTTTTATTATTTAAAATTAATATTTTATTAGAAAATTTCTTATGATTATAAGACTTATTTATTAAGTCAACAATTAGGGAGTCTTATTATTATATCAGTTGAGAAGACTGGAGCATTGAGAGCCTTGTTATTATGTATGATTAATGATATATTAATGATATTTATTCCTCTCTCTCCCATACATACTTATATGTGTGTAAATTGCCTTCCCATATACATGGATTCTATAAAATATGTCTTCTATATTTTTGGTGAAATTTTTTAGTTCTACATATGGTATTAGAATCCTAGGTTTGAGAAATTGATCCTGGGGTGCCTATGAATATTGAAGAATTGTCCTGGCTACAAGGTTAGTCTTGAATATTTTCCGCCATTAGAGTTAGTATGAAAATTACTGCAAAGAAGTTATATTTTTTATGAAATTTTTAGTTTTACATATGGCATCATAACTCTAGATTCAAGAAATTGATTTTGGAGTGCCTGTGAATATTGACAAATTGTCCAGACTACAAGGTTAGCCTTGAGCATTTTCAACTATTAGAGTTAGAGCATAAAAAGTACTATCAAGAAGTTACTTGATCTAGTTAAACTACAAGAATGGTCATGGAGTATCCAGTTGGTGAACATTGGACAACAAGATTGGTCCAAAAGAATTGTCAAATTGATTGTGGGTATGAAGATAGAGATTGAAAAAGAGTCCTATCAGTTGAGTTGTAATTACGAAAATCACAAAGTGATGAGAAGTGATGAGTTGTCAATAAATTAATATCAAATTATATGATAAAAACAATCTGTCCTGGTGCGAGGATTATTGCAATAGGAAAAGAGTTTGCAGATGATAAGTGACTAATTTGAGTTATATTTGAATGAAATTTTATGTTATTTTTAATCACTTTTGCAATGCTATAAGAAGAAAATGGATTATTTTGGCTAAAATTAGTTTAAAATATTCTTAAGTGTTTAAATGAGGTTTATGTCCCTTTTTACTTGCATTTTGTCCATAATTTTTATAGGAATTGAAAATAAACTTCATTTGGATGAAAAGGAAAGTTGTCAGTTTTGACACATTTTTTTTTATTTTGGCTATAACTTGAGCTACAATAATCGGATTGAGATGATTCTTGAACCATTTTGAATATAAGAGATGGATCTACAATTCTTGTGAAGATATCGAAATCTAGTTTAAAGGTTTTCTAGGTCAAAAAGCCGAATTACAGTAGCCAATTTCTATGGTTGAAACTGAAATGAAGGCATTGAGCAGTGAAGGGTATTTTCGTCATTTCAAAGCTTACACAAATCTAAATGAGACGATTCTTGATTGGAAAGTTAACTCAAAGGGCTACAAGTTTTATGTTTTGGTCAAGAGTTAATTCAGCTTTTATCATCAAGAAATGTTCAGCTGAAGTTGAGGTAAAATTGGAGCAACATTAAAGACTCAACAGATATTGCAAAGAAAAGCAGTGGAGCAATCCGGCTGACAATCCGGCCAGATTTTGGCCGGATTCTTGTTAGAAATGGCTGCTGTCCACTTGCACAACTTGTTTCCTCCTCCAATAATTCACAGCTATTGATGGACGTGTGACAACCACTTAGCAACTGTAATAGGGATGTTTGAAGCCTCATTTCTTGACTAAATTCATCTATATATAACCATGGAGTTACAAGAATAAAGAGAGCTTGGAGAGTGCAAGAAATACTACAAAAATATAGTTCCTACATTTTCTTAGTGTTAGGTTAGTATAGTATAGGATAGTTTAACTAGTTAGTTCGTCCTTCTTGTATATTAGCTAGACAAAGATGAATAAGAAGATGAAGGTGGAGGAGATAAAATCATGTGATAAGGGTTACATTTCTTTCCAAACTCTTTATCTTTTGTACTTGATCCTATTGTTTAGTTAATATACAAGTTTGGATTCTATGTTTATTATGTGTTTCTAAAGTTCATGCCTTGGGTTTGGTTGAACTTTCTATGATTGTAAGTGTTTATTATTTGGCTATTTGATGCTATTATTTTGAGCAAGTTATTTAGTACTTTAGCTCTTTAAATCATGATCAACTTGGTACCATTAATTGTGATTATCTAAAGGTGTTGTTTCTTTAATGAAAATTGAGATTTAACACTAGTTCAAGAAGTGCTAAACCTAGGGAGTACATTCACAAGAGTAGAGTAGCACCTTTGTAGCTTTAGTGATTTATTTCATATAATTTCATAGAAGAAATGAACTTGTAGCTAATTTCATAACCACGAGAGTAGGTATGGATTAGTTATAAGTAGAGTTGATTCACTACGAGAGTAGGTTTCACATGCATAAGGAAATTACGCCATAACTAGCCAAGATAGTAGTACTCAATGATCCAAAAATAGCATTTGCATGAGTAGTTAGGGATACCATAGCCTAAGGAGCTTTTGTTTACTATTTTCTTGCATAAGTTTAGCATAGTTTTGTTTCTTTTAATTCATTGATCATCTAAATAATAGAGAAGCTTTAGTAGTTCCGGTAATTGTCCAATCTTCCTCGTGGGATTAACCTGATATATGCCCTAAATTACTAGTTGACCTGTATACTTGCAGTAAAATGGATATATTTCGGAATTAAACTTGTACTTGTATCAAAAATCCGTCAAGTTTTTTGTGTCGTTGCCGAGGAGGATTTGTGGCAACATCGGCATGAAGAATAGCTTTATTAGTTTAGGCATTTTAATAGTTTTTCTTGTGTATTAATTGAGTCTAATTTGTTAAGTATTCATCAAGTTAGTCTTGAAAGTTTTTTTTTTATTTTAGTGTTTATTGTGTGTATGTGTTTTATCACCTATTCTTCTTACTAATCTTGCTCTTAAATTGTTTAAAAGCAATTTTAGGTAATGAGGGGGGTAGGTCAGTGATAAGAATATATTTTACGTATTTTTTAGTGTGTTTTATTAGTTAATTTTGGTTTGATTATTTAGTATTATAACTAAAATAACTAAGGTTTTGGTAAAAAACTACATTTTATGTTAAAGTGGCTAAACATTGCATTTTATGGATTTTTATGGTAAAAACTTCATATTTTGTAGGTTTAATGATTCAATCATCAAATGAAGTGCATTGAGAATATATTTGGATTATTGATGATGGATTAAAGTTGTGAAAATAAAATATGAAGTGTAAAAGGAAGAAATGCAATTTGAGGACAAAAATCAAGAAAAGTCAGCTTTCACAACTCAGACACATTTTCGTATTTTGACTATATCAGGAGCTACAATGATCGGATCAAGGTGATCTTGGTACCATTTTGAAGCTAAGAGATATATCTACATTTGGTATGAGACATCAAAGTCCAATTCAGCCGTTTTCTTGGTCAAAAGGTCGAAACACAGAAACTTATCTGGATGGTCGAAAGCTGAAGCCCAGAATTGACCAGTCTATGGTATTTTGACCATATCTCAGTCCACCGATCTCCAAATTAGATGATTCTTGAAGCATTGGAACTCTAATTCAAAGGGCTACAACTTTTGTGTTTTGCACAAAAGCCAGTTCGGCCTTCATCATGGAGAAAAATGCAGTTGAAGTGAGGTCAAAAGTAAAAACGTGTATGGCAGCCGAATTTCTGTAATTTGCTCAGCCATTTTTCTCATCTTCACACTACTTTCCAGCTAGAGTTGGAGAGAAAACGTAGGCTGCACATGCTTCAGAAGACATA